AAAGTGTTGGTTAATTTGCCAAACATTTTACAAAGCAGGACTGTGGGCGAGCGGGAGACTGAGTTTGGACTGATAGGTAGCTCCCTTGATGTCAGATTCCACTGCAGCACTCTAAAGTAAATCTAAGTGAAAACAGAGGGGATATCCAGGGAGTGTCATATCCGTATTGTGTTATCTGGAGCTCACAGCCCCACAAGCGCACAAAGAGCAGACCACAGGGTTGAGAAGCAGAGAGAGAGAGAAAAAAAATCCCTTTTTGAAAATTTCTGTTATTTTGGAAAGAAGTGTCTCCACAGGAAAAGATTTGACCACAACTAAATTAACTCGCCGTGCTTCTTTTCTTCCCCCTTAGTTTCAACCAGAATGCTGTCTCAGGCTGTTCTGAACCTAATCTCACTCAAAACCAATCTGTGAAAATGTTTGGTTACCAGCTTGTCCTCAGTTCCTTCTATTTATTTTCCACCAAAGTTACATGCAGGCCTCGAGGTAGATAAAGTGCTGAGGTTTGGAATGAAAAATAAAGAAAAGCGGGAGAGAAAAAGGCATGATTAAAGGTTTAATTAGAATATAATGAAACAGAGTGGGCTGACTGTTACTGCATCCTTTTGACTCACATGGTGCTGCATACTAATATGATCCCCTCTTCTTTTAATTCATAAGTAATTTAAATGGCTCGTCTAGATTAAGGTTTTTACAAGATCCAAAGGTGGTGTGGGTGTAGCAGCATTATGTATGAAGGGATTTTGTTTAATATCTGAAAAATCTGACTTTGAAGAGTCCAAAATATGAATTAGGGTGATTAAGGTATAGACTGAGTGACATCTTAATTTAGGAAGAGACAATGATAAATAGCACATTGGATGGATGGATGAGTGGATATCTAGATGGTTGGACAGATGGATGGATAGATGATAGAAAGATAGTCAGACAGAGAGACAGACAGACAGACACATGCATATATACCAAGATACAAAAAGTTTCCAACATAATACTATTAATAATAATAAATATATATTTTGCAAAACTAAAATTCCAACTGCATCACACAAATAGAAAAGTGCAAGAAACTATATGAGATTCTGTAACTGCACCATCTAAAAATAGAATTTAACATTTGTTTGCGGTCTTTTCATTCCCTTTCTCGTGGTGGTTTAGACAGCTCGTCTCAAAAACACTTTCCCACCAAAGCTCAGTTGGAGAAAAATACATGTTTACATTGGAGCCTAAGGAGCTGCCAAAAAAGCTAGAATTCAGGAAATGTCATAAACATTTTCTCTTTCTGTTTCTGATGACACTGCTCACTGTATCTGACTGTTCTGGCTCAGCCTGTGTTGGTAGCCTGTTGTGCTGCATCACCACTGACTTATGTTTTGTTAACCAGTGAATATTTTAGTTTGGATTCACACAGTGGCTCAAGCTTTTATCTCCTTGCTTTATTTCCCCCTGCTGAAAAATGTCTGAGTACAAACTTTTTCAGCGAATTTGTCAAAGCATGTTTGTTTACACCTTACAGAAAAAATGTATTCAACTGAGATTCATTGTTGTTATTTGAGGAAACCATAAATTGACTACATCAGAGTAAAACGGTGCAGCTCCACCCTCCCTCTGGTCGACATTGCCTCACAGAGACAGATGTAGATTTTCTCCCGTCTCTTTATTGATTGATTTCACCAAATTTTAGACGTGCAACAGAAGTGCATTGTTAATTTTTAAAATCTTTTTACAAGAAACTCCTCTGCCATACCTGCACGTTTTAAAATAAATCATAGGCTACCAGTGTGGAGAGAGCAAACAAAACACAGAGATAAATATACTGTGGTCATCTGAAGACATGTCAGTGGAATTTAATCTGTAAAGATTTTGCAAATAAATATTTAGTTTAGTAACTACTACAAAATCTATAGTTCAATATCAACTAAAATGTTGCAGGATGAGGTCCTCTATGTTCCATGGCGCTGCCATGTTATTGTGATCGTCCACCCTGGCCAGATGTGACTCCTCCCCACAGTTTAAATGCCCAGACTTTGCATTTTAGCTAATTGTCTGGTAAAAGGTCAACAGGCGTTTGAAATTGAGACACATGGCGGGTGTTCATTAGATGTGGTAGAGCTTGTTAGAGCGGTCCTGGGCTCAGCACATGCCTTCCTCCTCTAGGGACGACTTATAAAGTACATTTGTGGTGGGTAGTCAAAGAAGACAATGCTGTTTAAGCTGTTATTTTTTTTGGGCCCCAACTGTGAAGTCCAGTCAAGAGATATAGTTAATCTATCAGGTAACATGAAAGGTGATCAAGCTGCTTTGGGAACGACTGAGAGGTTTTCATGTTGTTCCAAATGGCTCAACCATTAACTTGCAATTTTCTACACATGCAATTTCTTTCAAAGTGCAGATAGATAAAGGGGGAAAAAAAATAACATTCATACACATGCTGCTCAGACAGTGCTTTAAACATGATCTTCTGTTGAGTGTGTGTGTTTTTCTAATTTGTCTAAATCTATTTCTATTTCAAGCACTTCATCGGTTTAATTGGAGCCGCAGCAGAATAGAGGACGCATTTGAAGCTCGGGACCCTTTGGTTCCAGGAATTTAAAGTGCACTGTTTGGCGGCACACACTAGAGGTAATGTTGCAGTATCTATGGCACACATAGAAGTGGTGTGGGAACAGGGGTGATCCATCATCGTATAATCATTTGATTTGTTTGGGGGCTGAAGTCGGCCATGGCCAATCACATCATATATGTGCCATGACAGTATACTTAACTACTATAACAGTCTATACCTGTGAATATGACTTTTCAGTTTAATCCAAACCAAAATATCAGGTGTAAAGTGCCTCTGACCACAGTACGAACCAATGGACCAAAATAGGTGGTCTCAGTCTGCATGAAACTGAGCCATGGTTTGGTAAGTTTGCCACATGAAAGCACTTTTTTGGATAGTTCAGACTTTTGGACCAATTGCAGGAAGCTGAGACGGCATTAAAGAACATAAGAAAAGAAAGAAGTGAAAGCGGTTTGCAGGATTGCTCTAAAAGTATAATATTTGAAGAGAAGAATGTTAATTTTCTCATTGAAATGGAAAGAATACTAGCTGCTGAATTATTGTCGTCGGATGCTCTTCCTTCTACAAACCACAAACAACAAAGACATGAACCTTGGTCAAGACCTTCAGGTGTGGAAACGCCCCACGGTTAGGGTGAGGCACCAGTTTGGGGTAGAGCCCCGACTTGAGTGACATTTAAACTCAATCTCCTTTTGCCTCCATTGGTTTCTCGCTCCAGACTACTTCCTTGTATCCCCTAGCAATCCTTATGACCTTATGACACCCTATAGCCTGAAAGTACATGTCAACACTCTAGCAGCCAGTTAGCACCCACCAGGCATCACTCTACCAACTAACAATACAACACACATTTTTACGAAAAAAGCAAATATCAGAACTACGTAAGGAAACATATCCGTTTCATTAAATCCCCACATGGCAGGTTTGATCTGAGAGGAACATACCATATGTGTCACTAAAATAATTCTAATTATTATGCTTGCACTTGAGTTCAGGACAGAGTGAAAACTGTAGGGTGAATTAAATGACTGGATCTTATTATAAATATATGTGAGCAGCGCAGACCTTAAAAGCTCTCCACTGACTACATGCCACTGCATGGGCTGGTTGAAGTGCCATCACTTTGAAGAGCAACTGTGACTGTCGAAGAAGTTACACCATCTTTCTAATTAAAGGCAGAAAAGATAATTGCTTTTAACGGATCACAGTTTCAGGAGAACTCTCAAGATCTCCCTCCAGCCAGCGCCCACACACACACACATCACATAAATATAACTCAGCCTATAATATAAAACTCTAAGTTAGGAACCAATCACAAAAGGCTTTTTCATTCCTGTGGAGTCGTTATCAAGCCAAAAGAAAGAATCATTCCCAGACCTGTCATATATCAGTCAGGTGACAGAACAGTCTTCAAAGAACAAGGCCAATACATTCGGAGCATAACTATAAAGCTTTTCCCAAAACCTATAGAGTCCTTTCAGTAAGTGGCAGCGGAGGACTTAAAAGTGTTTCTTTGACAAACCGAGGAATGATCCCGTCAGCGAGGAAACGGAAAAGGGGGTAGTTGGGGATTGGATTGAAAATATGCCTCTGTGATTCTCAAACATCTTTTAATAACCCACGTAAACTCAAAGAAATCAAAGAACCAACTACTCTGCTCAAACACTTGACCACGGTGACACCGTCTTTCATCATTCTTTCCCACTGGGAGGCTGTCACCACAAGCAATTCCTTCTCTTAGGCTAATTATTACTTGTGTCAATATTCAAGATGGAACTATTTTTCGCTTAAAAGGACATAACCACTAATGGGTAAAAGTTTCTATTTGAATCCATTGATGTGTGATATGTGAGTGAAGTGCTCGTACAATCCTTTTGGAGGAATACAAAAATGGGACATATTTATGTGTTGGAGTCT